TTAAAGTCTAGGATACATTTTTAACTAAGATACATCATACATGATAACTTAGATTACGGTGCATGGCACAGTTTGTGGTTAAATATAGTATATTTAAATATATGTAATGACTATTAATAGTTCTTTTATATGCAATGACAATTATTCTTTTGTAGTTACTATTGTATGTATGTCGTGAATTTCTTTATTTTTGTTATTTTCTTTTGTGCATTCTTTATATTAATTAATTGAAAAACTATTAATGGGTTAGAACAACCAAATGTTGGTTGCAGATGATGTATCTTTAGCAACCAAATGTTGGTAGCTATGATTTTTACTATATGTTTTACCGACCAACATTTGGTTGCAAATGTATGCCAGCTAACTGACTCTTTACCCCAAATCGAGCCATTTACCGACCATCGTTTGGTTGCTAAAATATGGTAATTTTTTTTACTAAATTCATTTACCGACCAATATTTGGTCCCAAAAAGATGAAAATTACCCAACTTTTACCTCCAAACCGAGCCCTTTTACCGACCACTATTTGGTTGCTAATTGTATTACATTTAGCGACCACCAGTTTTTGGTCGCTAAAGATGTTCACCGACGGTGAATTAGCGACCATGGAGCGACCACGGTTTTTTAGTCGCAAAAGATCTTTATCGACCAAATTATTGCCTTTACCGACCAATTTTATTGGTCGCTGGAGATCATATTTTTTGTAGTGGTAGGCTTTTATTAAGTTTTGAAGGTCTTTCGTCTTTAGAGAAAAATATATTATTAAAATAATAAAAATTTCATTTTCGGTCATTGAATTCGTTTGATTACTAATATAATTCAAGTTTAAAAGATATTTTAATAAATTTTATTTTTTATGGTTTGTAGGGTCGACGGGGGGCTCACAACCTAATGTTGCTAGGGGCTGTGCTTCTAGACAAGGAGTTCAAGCAAGTCGATCCAAGACTCAAGGCAAAGTGTTTGCTATGACGCAGCGGGAGGCGGAGGAGTCACCAAATATGGTAGTGGGTATGCTATCTATTTTTTGTAGAAATGCTCGTTCTTTAATTGANTACTATATGTTTTACCGACCAACATTTGGTTGCAAATGTATGCCAACTAACGGACTTTTTACCCCAAATTGAGCCCTTTACCGACCATTGTTTGGTTGCTAAAATATGGTAACTTTTTTTTTACTAAATTCATTTACCGACCAATATTTGGTCGCAAAAAGATGAAAATTACCTAACTTTTACCTCCAAACCAAGCCCTTTTACCGACCACTATTTGGTTGCTAATTGTATTACATTTAGCGACCACTAGTTTTTGGTCGCTAAAGATGTTCATCGACGGTGAATTAGCGACCATGGAGCGACCAAGGTTTTTGGTCGCAAAAGATCTCTAGCCACCAAATTATTGCCTTTACCGACCAATTTCATTGGTCGCTGGAGACCATATTTTTTGTAGTGAAAAACTTGTTCTCTCAAAGTGAAAACCTCAAGTGCATGAGGTCGCTTCAAGTAATAAAGTGGAATTGTGAGTCCTGATTGTCGATTTCCCGAGGAATGTTTACTTTCGATTACACTACTCTAATCAATTTGATTCGAGCAATAAAAACAAACACTCAATAAATTTTAGATTTGAAAATAAGGAAAAAAAATACTAAAACCCTACAAGATAAGAAAATATAAAAACATTGGAATTTCGGAGGAAGTTTGGATAAACAATAATGGAATGCTTGAGGGTTTCTATAGGCGTCAAGAATATTGACACTGGGAAATCTCCTTCATCTATCTCCCGCATGCTCATTCTACTGATTTTGTTGTACCGCTGCTCTAGTGGCTCTTTGTCCAATTGGTTGTATAGAAATAGAAATGTTTTGATCTTCAGTCGTTTGATATTTCTGTTTTTGTTGGCGTTCTTTGAGTTTTCATCTGAAAGTACATTCTATCTCTAAATCAAACAATTCAAGATCGTCGCTTAGGGAGTGGAGGATACAATGAACACGTTTTCATTTGTAAATAAGAAAAAGTNTTTTCATTTGTAAATAAGAAAAAGTAGACTAATCAAATAAAAGTAAAAAATGATAGGAAACTAAGACTAAATGTAAATAGTCCTCGACAACGGCACAAAAAACTTATTGCCCTTTTTATATCACAAATGTACGATATCGTAACAAGTAATAGAATGGACATTTGAATCCGGATGATTGTTCCAATGAGAACCGTACTTTAATAGTTAATTTAATATTTCTAGCTCCTATTTGATGAAAAACAAAGAATTCTGATTATTGTTCTCAATATATCTAATTAATTGAAAATAA